GGCTGAGTGTGGTGGGGCCCCAAGACAACTGAGAGGAATGGGCTGCAACCTGAGCTGGGCGGTGAGGACTCCAGTGGATCAAGGGTGGAATCTAAGGCAGGAAGCAGGGTTCGCACCTGGGACGTGGCTTCTATTCTGAGAGGCAATCGGGAGGACGTGCTGGCCAACAGAGAGAGGAGGTGAAGCAAGACTCATCATTGTACCCTACCACATTACTGTGCCCTTCTGCTTTTGAATTTTAAAATAGCAATAAACTAAAACACCAGTTTAGGGGAAAACAATCCTCTGACTAAAAAGCTTCTTACATCCCTAACTTCCTCCTCATCTTATCTATGTCCTCACATATTTTTTAGAACATAATAGTTACTGTATACCCCATTTTACTTTTTAGGTTAAGGCTTAATTTTAAGCACATTTCTATGGATCAAAATGGTTTAAATTTTGCTTGGAGGAAGGACAGGAATGGGTTTGTCAAATTATGTTCATTGGTCGAAAAACACTGGTTTGTTTATCAGATTGTTTTCAAAACTGGGATTCCCAAAGCAAAATCTTGATCACATACTGCTAGTTGCTCTCCACATATACCAGACTAGAATCACCAACATAAACATTCCCCAGAAAACTACCAAGCACTAGACTTTACCATATTAAGTTCTGTGGGACTCAGCTTTTAAACCCCCTTTGTCAAGGATGAAACCAGACCCCTGAATTGACAAAGATACTAATAAATGACTTAACACATCCTGATCTTTTTTTTTTTTGGTACTGGGGATTGAACTCAGGGTCACTCGACCACTAAGCCACATCCCCAGCCCCATTTTGTATTTTATTTTGAGACAGGGTCTCACTGAGTTGCTTAGCACCTCACTTTTGCCAAGGCTGGCTTTGAACTTTTGATTTTCCTGCCTCAGCCTCCTGAGCCACTGGGATCACAGGCTTGCGCCACGATGCCCAGCAACACCCCCTGATCTAAACAATGGAGTTCTGCCTGCCAGGGAGCACTAGGTTGTGTGTACAATGCTTGTGGTGAGTGAGTAAAAGGGGAAGCAGGTGAACTGATAGGTGAGTTGGTGAAGGGAAAAAATGCACAGAGTGAAAATGTAAGCCATATAAGAGAACTGTGTACTGTCTGGTGTGACTACAGGCAGGCCTCTTTGGAAAGAAAAAAGGAAACAGAATTCCTTGGGACCAAGTGGATTTAAACAGGCTCTTATGGAATGATCCATGCATTAATCTTTGCTTTGGCAACTGCATTCCTATCTTCCCTCTAAGCAAGGTAACTCAATTCTATTCTTTTTCAATGTTTTTTTTTCTCCCCCTTCTCTTTTGGTAAATAACCAGGGTTAGCCAATTCTACTGCCTACTCAGATGATTTTTTTCACAACTACTGACATTTATTAAGCATCTACTATGTGCCAGGAACAATGCTTATAGATTTTTAAAATTGACTCTTACTCTTCACAAAGACCCTGTGTGGCAGGTAAATTCTGCACTAATTTTATGGATAAGGCAGGAATCAATGAATATATCTTATGTCAACTTCCTCTTTGGGAAAAGAACTGATAGAAAGGAACCTACTGACCTATTAAGAACATCCCTGCTATGTACATGAGCAGAAAGTTCTGCAGTTCAGCCAAACGCACTGTCAGCATCCAGTTCAGGAGTGGCAGCCAAGTGGTGACCAGCCGGGGCAAAGGAAGGGCACAGGAGAACCAGGGATGGGTGTCGCCTGGCTTTGCAAACAACCCAAGGTGCCACCCTAATCCTGCCAGTCCACTTCTCTGAGCCTCCCTTTCTTGTACTTTTAAAAAGGATCGTGAACCTGGGCGTGTCCCCTGGGAATACTTCAGGCACAGTTCTACACATGTCTCACAACCGCCTCACCAGGCCCAAACACCCTGTCCCCCATCTCTGGCACTGAGAAGGGTGTCCCCTGTGACCCCGCTGTCTACCCGGCCACTGGAAAGTCACTAACGTTCCACAGCGCTCCCAGCTCTCCTCTGGAGACCCCGCCCTGGAGCGCAGGTCTCTCCAGTGTTTCCTTCAGGGGCCCCTCGACCCCGCTCCACCGACACACGCAAGGCCC